TGGGGTGGGGAGACTGTCCAAAGGACTTCGTGTCTCTCTTTTCATGCTATTTCATCCTTACTTGACTCAATGGCCAATATCTAATTTTCTGCACTGGAAGAGAAGAAAGAAACAGTAGTTGTTAACAAGTATCTTCATATATTACACTGAAACAAATGTGCTACTTTCTCGCATTAATACTTTCCTAATCTCACTTTGTCACGTAGCTAAGCTTTCTGTTGCCTCAAGAAAGAAATGTGTTCGGATTTATGAGAATCATTCATAGGAGAGTCTCTATCTTAGAAAGTAATTTCTCTTGTGACAATGATTGAAAGAAGACTAAGAGAATGGTGGGAAACACTGAAGTGACTTCATAACCCCCAGCACCTCTGTCTCAGAGTCCCATTCAAAATGTGGAAGATGGCATTACTCATCTACCAGTTGATGCCTTAAGCTTTGACTTGTCTTAAAAGGAACAAATAATTAAAAAAAAACAAACCAAAAGACCCCTCAGGTCCCCCTCCCACATGCACTTAGAAATATGGCCTTAGCCCAAAGATTGCTGAAGACAGCAGAACTAGAACTTTAAAAAGCTAATTCTACGTACATTAAATAAAATGGGAGCTATTTTATAGCTCCCCGTATATAGTTAGCTATATAACAAAGCCATATTTTGTGCACGTATTAAAATTGGCATAATGTTATACTTGAAAGTTTAGATTGTCCTCTGAGCGATACAATAGAGGTAGGAGCATTTACAGTAATATACAAGTCTGTCATTTCAGTGAATCTGTCATTACTTTTTCCTTCATTTTATATGATGTATTGTAGTTCATTCCAGTCTCGCAGTTTAAGTTACAGATGGAGAAGAATTTCATTTGAATTTTGTTATCCGTAGATAAGCCATGTCTGTTCCAGCTGATGAAACTGTGGGGGACCTGCCTGTGAGAGATGTAGGTCTAACTCTAGCTGGAATTGGAGGATTACAAGGTTTGTACCAGCTGCTATTTATTACAGTTACAGACTTTGATCAGTGGCTTCTTTAGTTTCTTTCTAAAAATGTTTCTGACATTCCCGCTCACAAAATTAAGTGCAAATACCATTCAAAATCTGGGTTAAATTCTGAAAGATACTATGACCCATTCTGTGTTCATGTTGCTTGTCATAAGAGGGGAGTTGCTGTGAGATGCTAAAAACTGGAAATCTCATTGAGCTATTACATTCATCCTTGCAGAAGAAAAGAGGACTTTTTTGCTGAATTGAGGTCAAGGCCAGACCCATTTAACAAAATGGGAACCAAAAGTACTATGCAATTCTGATATGTTACTCAGCTGCTATTAGAATGGAACTACTGGGCTTAGTCTTGTATCTGAGTAAATTTATAGAATTATGAGTTAATCTTTTCAAGTTTCAAGAGAGTATGTTAACGCTGAAACAGACTAGAAAGCATTTCTGTGGTAATGATCGTCTTATTTAAGTAGTATGTTTGACAGTACCTTGTTACTTGCTAAACTGTTTCCTTTGTGTTGTCTAGTAGGTAATCAGTTTGGTGTATCATTTAAATTACTTTTTTTATTGGTAAGAGGGACTGATTAATATGCCAATAAATCTGAAAAAAAAAAATCAACAGACTCACGCAAGTGTAAAATATCAAATTACTTGAAAACTTTTTTTTTCAGTATTTCAAAATTAGTTAGACTTTGGATTACATGTTGTTGAATGTATTGAAGGTAATTTAAAGTTGTCTTGATTTGGGTAGAATCATCAACTACACAGAATGTAAAAGCTCGACAAGCTATATCACGGATCAGTCGAGAGGAACTCGAAGACAGATTTCTTCGTTTACGTGATGACAACATCTTGCTCAAACAGCATGCAAATAAGCAAGAGGATAAAATTAAAAGGTATGGGGTTTAATGTTTTTATTTTAGCTCACAATAACATTTTTGCCCTTTAAAGCATTATCAACAAATTAAAAATCATGCTGATTGCTCTCAGAGCACTTTTTAAAGCAGTAGCAAAAATCACTTGTTGGAATTCATTTTTGTATTGATTTCTGGTTGTCTCTGTGGTATGTGGGATATTTTTTGCTGTGGATGGTATTAGATCTCTATGTAGAGAGGTACACCACTATCCACCACTTTGGAGTTGGTACCTTGGGTTCATAGCTATGCTGTCTGAGTACAAATATAACAGGTATTCTGGGAGCTGAAGAAGAGGCTATAGAAGCCTAATTATTCATCAGGAATTTCGTCCTAGAATCAAAATGGCCTATATAGAGAGATTCTGCCCCTTTTTTTTGTCTTTCTCTGTCCTCCAAGGAGTTGACTATCATCTAGCCTTTTATCATCTAGTTAACCCTAAAATATCTCTATAATTATGATCAGCTCTCCTTTATTCAGGGTAATAGATAACATCATTGAAGAAGTCACAAGTAGCATGGGGATCACAGTACCCAGTACCAGTTTGGGTACACCCAAACATACGCAAACAACTTTAGGCTTATTATTAAACTTAGTGCTGTGCTGGCAAACCAATCTGTACTCAGCAGAACTGTTCATGGTATTACTATATTCCAGGAGGACTAATTAATCCAAAAGCACTGTGACTCTGTGTTCACATTGTGCTGTACTTAAGCTAATAAGTACAGTGAGTACTTGTAATAATACTTAATACTTAGTATTCAGTGAGTCAGGATCAAATTGACCAGCATGACATAACTTCCATCTTTTCTGTCAGGCTACTGTCAAATACAGGATGGTGGAACAAATGAATTGTTTACTTATTCCAAATGACATTTCCTGTGTTTCTGTTACATGACTTATCAAATGCACTCATCATCCACTTAGGTAAAATTACACAGAATGTCCAAATTGGAATACCTGAATTAATATTTAAAAGCACAGAAAATATAAAATACAGTGTTTGTCTAGATTGCCAGAGAAAAACCTTAACTCCTCAAGCTAAATTTCTTTCCCAGCATCCCTCATGCCAAAACCCTTGTAACTAAAAGTTTGGAATGAATTTGCAGTAGAAGTACATTGAAAAAAAACAAATAAACAAAAAACCTGCTTACAGGCAAGGAACATTCTGTGACATCCTAAAGTTATTACGGGTTTTTTTTGTTTCACTTTTGTTCTTTTAAGTAGAAGCTTCTGTCCACACGTATACGAAAACAAAACAAGCCCCTTTAAACAAATTAAGTGTGTCCTTATTTTCAGTTTTCTTTCTGGGCCTGCAAAAATAGATTCCCTGTAAACTAGATACAGGTCTTGAAGATGTGCGACCAATTTTGTAAAGTCTTGAACATGTCTCTCTCATCAAAGCCACCTTTTCTTTCTTTATATGCCAAGTTTTTTCCATTCATTGCTGGGTATGTTTTCTGTTCTTGTATATTACATCACCTCCATGTGCCCTCTCTGCCTTTTGTTCAAGCTTACCAATGTTTATCAAAACTAAAGGAAATCAAAGGTATGACTCTTGAGATGCCAAAAGCAAAATTGGTATCCTTTTAAAGATAGATGAAAACCATACCCTCTGTATCTAATTATATTCTCCAGCTAACTGTTTCTTCTCTGAAGCACATTGGTAATATTTACCAAGTATAAAATTGAGTATGGTAATGAGAACTATTAAGTCTCTTTTTCCGGAGTACCTTCTTAAATATCTCCACCTATATATTTTAGCCACTTTAGAACTGAAATATATATTTAAATCCTAAAATACTGGAAATGATATATCATTGGAATGTTGCATATTATTAGCATTCTTTCAATAGTTGAATGTTTTGTGGAATTGTAGCTTTTATAGTTTGCCCCACCACATCCCAAATCTGTAACTTAACTTAACAGCCTGCAGAGGTTCCTATATAAGGTCATGCGTTAAAAATTACATTTAAACAGCATATGGAGTAAATATGTGTCCTGCCTTTACTAACCTTAAATGATAAGCCTTAGGAAACTGTTATTTGTCAGTGCTATAAAGCAGATTGCTGCACAGTGGTTTCAATTATCTTCAAAGAGTTCTTCACAGGCAGTAATAGTTATATCAAAACCTGAAATTTATTATTCAGGTTCTATGCTGAAGTCTTCACAGTGATTATGTTCCTTTCAACAGAATGCTTTTTATGCTGACTTTTCACATTCTTTTTCATCTTTTTTTATTATTTTTCCCCAGAATGGCCACCAAGTTAATACGGCTTGTTAATGACAAAAAAAGGTCTGAACAGGTTGGTGGCGGCCCCAAGCGGCTGGGTCAGGCTGTGGAGCTGGAAGAAATGATTGAGCATTTGCAAGAGAGAGTTCGTGAGCTTGAGAAACAAAACGAGAACCTCCGCAGCAAACTCGTTTCAACTAAACAGCAGCTTGAGATTCAAGGCCATAGGCCTTGTCCGTACAGCTATGTTCAATCTCGTATTAACACTGGTCTCAAAAAAGTGAGTGAGGCTGCTGGCATGCCAGAGCACACAAAGAAAGGTATAACTCACTTTTACTAAAAATAATGGTTTATATAGGTACCAGTAACTATTGCTTCACTGTAGCAATTACGTACTATTTTCTGTTCATCAGTGGGCAATAGTACCTGTAGGCAGAAAGATTGTTCTTCCCACTTTTTCTTGTATTTATTTATAGCAGTCATGATAGCTTGTTTGCCTTTGAAGTCCTTATTTTGAGAATCTACAGTAGTAGGGGTAAAACAAAAGTACAGATTTGAAAATAAAGTAGTTATCAAGCAAGTTTTCTAATAGTTAAAATCATGGGACTTTCTTAGTGTAACTTCTCTACATGTTAAAGGCTTATGAAAGAAGTATATGAAAAAGTTTAGCGTTATCATGTTATAACAAAGTATTACATCTGTAGTTTGTTTGCACATGTTTTTCCTTTTTTAATTTCAAGGTTTGTTCTAGTCTCTTGATACATGTGTGCACAATACTGCAGACTTGAAAAATCTATTACATGTGTGGACTTTTGAAAGCAAATACCACAATGCAGCCATCTTTAATGGTGCTTTTTACTGTCAAGACTTACTGCATAAGGCAGTCTCACTCTTAGTCCTTTATTTATGGTAGCTACATTTGGAAATTACACTTTAAAACCTTTCTATTTTCATATGAACATTTGTAGAAGTAGTTTTACTCAGTTAACTTATACACTGTACAGATAATGTGTTTAAAAAAAAAAAGACAGCTATGTTGGCCCTGATTCAAAACTGAGTCAGCAGAATTGTCTCCTTAACTTCTACAAGCTATGGATGAGGCTGATGGTCAGTTATAGTGTTTTTTCTCCATCTCACCCTCCCACCGGTCTTTATTTTGGTTATGTTGATTATTCAGGTATATGAAAACAGAAACAATTCTCATGTTTTTAGACAGGCAATAAAAAGCAATTGGCTCTACCACTTTGCTTCTTTAATTTGAATATATAGTGCAAGTTTTGACATTTTAAATACATCTACATTTTCACACTTTATGTCAAGAATTAGGCAGTTTTATTCCCCAAATCAATCTTTTGTTTGTTTGTTTTAACAATGCAAAAATAGGGTAGGAATATAATAAATTTATTCAGGCCCAGTGGTAGCAGAGAGAAAAGGGCAACTTGGTTCAAGGATTAAAGATCAAATGTTGGTATGGCATGCTGTGAGGGCTTCTCTTGGCCTAAGAACAGATCCAGATCAAAGATGTCTTGTGCAGAGCTAGGATTAGGGCCATGTTGATTGAGGAAGTGGTTCTTAAACTGAAGAGAACATGAGGAAGAAAGAAAAGGAAAAGTTCTCCACAGAACATCCAGTTCAGATAATAATGTTCAGAAACTTCACGGAAGTTCTAGTGTGCCTATCTCGGTTCTTAAGACTTTGTCCAAACTAGAAGGGATTCTGATAATTAGAGTGCTATGAATATGCAGTTTCTTGAACACACTTTTCTAAGGTGAAGACTTATTAAAAATCTAGTAACCAATACTCAGAACTTGGACACGGTAGTTTTGTCTTCCAGAAGGTCAGAGAATATTTTCTATAGTATTCATTAGCATTGGATGTTTCATGTTTTTCTCTTGCATGTTTTCTCATTCTGCCCTTTTGATTAATGATGATAAACCTAGCAGTCTGGTGTTGAGTATGTGCCTCCTATCTTTAAAGACTGCTGGACTCTTAGGTTGCTCTGTGGAACCATGAGGCTGAATCTCAAAACATTTTCAGTGCAGATCAGAAAATATTCAGAGCAATTCTCCAAAAATAAAATGAGTGCCAGGAAAAATTCAGGAGAGCTTAGCTGTCTCCAGGTTACGAAGAGGCAAGAAGAATCCACAAATAATAAATACACCTTACTGTATCTGCTTTGTGTTTGGCTGGTTTACAATAGCATAGCAAGTCGATCCAAAAGATGTGGTCAAGTATGAATGGTCACTAAATACTCGCTGGTTTCTCTCATTACTTTATTTATTGAGTACAACCATCTAAGATATATCATGATTTGAACACAAATAAATGAAAAATATATACTCTAGGCATATATATACACATATGTATATAGCGCAATAGCCAATACCTTAAAATAATACTTAAAGATCAAAATATATAAACAAATCAAGTTAACTCAGCACAAATGCAAAGTAGGTAAATTTTTTTCAGTCATTTTGCTGGTATCGTTGTACCTTGAACCTAAATGACTCAATTTTGGGGACTGAGGGATGGCAGCCTTAATGCTGTATTTGAAATTCAATGCATAGTTTGGTCAACTTGATTAATTTCTTCTTGCTGAAGAAAGAGCAGAAGGAGAAAGATTTGGAGAAACCATTACTTTTACCGCTGAACTAACAATTCTTCCTTAAGTCGTTTCTCACTTTTCATCTTCACCAGGGACTTAGTATGCTTCTAAAGAACACAAGGAAATTATTTGCACTGCTTCTAAAAATGGCCCTGTATTTGCTTGTCTAGGTAAATGACACTTGTGATTTTGTAAAGAAAGTTCTATCGGAGAAAAAGTGATTACAAGTCCATGTTCCAGTTTAATAATATTGATATTGTTGTTCTTTGAGGACACCATCTCTGTTCTCTGTCTTTAAAAGTAAAATCTTCCAAGACAGACATTTCAAGACATGTTTTTAACACTTCTCTTTAACAGTGCATGCTGTATTGCCCATGGCTCAAATTTTACAGCAGCTATGTTGTAGGTACTCCGATTATCTCTTTCCATGTGAATTTGATGTAAAAACACTTTTTATGGCATCTATATAGGAGCTGTAAGTGTTTGTACTGTATAGAGATTGTTGTTTTGTTAAATGCTTTTTCATTCAGCATGACAAAAATTTATGTTTTCCTCATTTTCAGGAATGAGATTTCAGGATTTAGAAGTGAGATCACTTAACCTTGTGCTCCCAAGATATGGACAGAGTCTGCTTGAGGATCCAAGGGCTGAAATAAGAAATTTGTATGATTTTCATGTTTCTTAATTTTTGTCATTATAATTGGGAAAAAAAAATGTTTTTCAGAAGTTTTTACTTCAGAAAATAAAGTGAAGTTGTTGGATCTGACAACAGTAACACTGGTAGCAATGCAGAAGTGTTTTATGATAAGGAAAACATAGAATCAGGAATTTAGAATGCAAAATGTGGCTGCATAAGAATTTGGCTGGAAGTTAAAATTGATCTTCAGTGGTGAGCTGCTCTTTTTGCTAGGATGCAATGTTGCCTAGCTTACTACTGGACAAGACTGACAAAAGCAGAAAGAATCTTAGCTGCAAAATTATTACCAATATAAGTCCTAAAATGTGTAGGATAACCCATGCAAGCGGTGACTGTATTGAATGTGTTACGCTGATGCATTTAAGCTTCATTTCTAGAGGTGGTCAGATTTTATGGATAAGTTGCAAGAAGTGCAGTATGGGATAGTAATGTAAAATGGTTTTGATTCACTTCTGCATTTTAAAAGTTGGTTGTAGTCCAGTTGCACATTTTAACTGAAATTGAAGCTCAGGAAACTCTTGATAACATCCTTAATGTAGAGACTGCATGAGAACAGAGAGGTGTTATATAGGATGGAGAAAAGGTAGTTAACATCTAATTTAAAGATATTGAGGTCTGATTAGAACACTTTTCTTCTGCAAAGTATATCAGAACCTATTACGCTTTTTACACATCTGGTTTTCTAAAAGCTACTTCCAGTATGTGTGTGTGTGTTTCCATAATGATTTACCTAAATCAGATTTACTACAATATCTGTAAATGCTAAATTTTCAATAAATGGGCGAGCTAAGTGTACAAATATATGCATTAATGTGCAATTATGTATTTTGTGCTTGAAGTTTTGTAAACACAAAGATTTAGTGAGATCATAGGAAATATTTTTACAGAAATATTCTTATAAATTATTTTAATAAATAAATTTAAATTAGTTAACAAAGTTTAAGTTGCACTCTTGCTAGCATCCTGTCTGAATTTAACCCTTGCTGAACAGTTACAATTTTTTAAAAATAATTTACATTATAATAGGATGTTGTTACTGAAAAAAAAAATCTTTAGCCATTTTATAGTGATGGGCCTAGAAAGGGCTATTTCTCCTATACCCATCACTTTTGAAGACTAGGAAAATAAGAGCTATCCATTAAGACTGCCATGAATCTGGGTGTTCACAGTAGCTTTTCTCCTAAGACTGATGAAAAACGTTTTGTTATAATGCAGAAAACATTCAAATAGCATTTTTTTCAGAGATTTCAGTTCTCACAAAGGTGCAAAAATAACCACAGTTGCTCGGAGTGGTGCACTCGGGTACAAAAGCAAGCACATGGCCAAAAAATTCAAGGTACTTTTAAGTCTACGATAGGTGTATGAAGTAATGAAGAACTGCAGCTTATGCATCAAAAGCTCTGGAGTGGAAAAAATTGTAAATAAATTGTTGCTTATTCTTATTAGAAAAAATGTTATTGGAAAAGATATCTGAGATTTAACTTGTCAAGAAAATCAAAATCGCAAAGTTGTGGCCTACTAAAATATATTCGGCTCTGATCTCTATAGTTTTCTGCCTTTCTTTTTTTAATTGCATTTACTGGATAAATTCCACTGTTAAAGACACATCACCTAATTTTTTGTGTAAAGTTACCTAACTCAGAATAAAAGCCTAAAAATTACTCTCACTGCTCCATCCATTGAAGATCTCATTCTTTTGATAGCTGGTAATGGTGTTTTCCTTTTCAGAAAGCAGTTGGTACTAATGGTTTAGGAGGAGGGTACGTTTAATATAGAGTATAAGAAACCATAAATGATGTTTTCGGCTAGGTTCTGCTAAACATTATTCAGTCCACATAAACATTTATTTTAAGAGTATTATGTTGTTTGTGTTGTGTTTGCTAAATTATTTATCTATTTATTGTACTACTCGCATCTTTTGATGTGGTGACCTCAAATTATTTTCATAGTAAGTTGAACTCTTAAACCTCTGTTGTGATGCATGTCATTAAGAAATACAAATTTTGCACTTTTAAAATTTTTGCTCTCTTGAGTATTCATTTAATTTTTCTCTTTTATTAAATACTTACCTGGTTTTGGAACGTAAGATGCTTGTACTTGCAGGGAGACTGTGATTGAGTCCCAAAGGGAACACATTGAGCAACTAGAACATGCCAGAGGGATACTTGTGAGTCAGCTAAAAAGGAAAGGAAAGGAAATTGAAGAATCCGTCCTACGGCTGAAAGAGCAAGAAACAACAAGCCAAAGGTATTGTGAAAAATAGAAATCTCCACGGTGGAAGAATTAGAAGAGCTATGTCATAATGTTTATACATAGCTCTGAAAATGACTTGTTCTGTTAAGAAAGATGTACTTTATTCACTTTTTTCCCTTTGGTGAAACTAAGTCATAAAATGTTTTAACAAATAGCCATGGATAATTCTAAGCAAGGAGATTGTTAGGATAATAGGTTATTATGTTTTTTTCACAAATAAACAGAGGTTCATAATTACCATTTTAGATAATTCATTTCCAGCTGATTCAGATTCAACTGAAGTTCAACTCATTAAGTTTTGATCATCTATTGTTTCTTCAATATAATTCTTAAAAAATTTTAGATATAGATTCATAGTGGATAATTTAATGTTTATTAATACTCATTGATAACTTGGAATGTACAAATAGTAGAAAAATAATTGCCCTGTAAGGGTAGATTAGCAAATTTTTGAAGGAATATCGTATAGCTGTGCAGTGAAACAAAGGCAGACAAACATGCTTGCGGAATGTGTTTCACAGTAAAGCCTCTATTAGTTTAATATCTTTTCTTTCTCTTTCTTCTTTCACTTTTGCAAAAATACATGCAAAATTATATAACTTTGCATATATTTTCCTCTTTTGACTGTTTCAATTTCAGCCTGTTACTTTTAATTGTATTAAGGATCTAATATGGCACGATCCTGCATTCCTTATTCATTTGATTTCAATGGAAGTTCTACTTGGATGAGAAATATGTGGTCAGTTCTTTAACTGCCTTTCAAGAGAGGGACCCCGTTATTATGTGTGAGCATTCTTTTGTGCATCAGTGGCGCTACATAAATAATACATCATAATGTTTGCTATTAAATTATTCACAAAGTGATAAGTCTCCCCTATTCAGAATTTCCTTTATATAGTTTAAATAGGTTAAAGAAGTTGTTTTCATAAATAATTTCTCAGTCTGTGCTTACAGTGAATTCAGAAAATATTTAAAAGATTTTTTCATTATTTGAAAATAATCTGATACAAATCTCAAAGAACTTGTGTGCTTCGTTTTTCTATAGATAAACACTTTTTTAAGTACAGCAGTCAGAAATTGAACATAACTTCTAAATTCGATGTCAACTACCATGTTTCTGTGAAATTTTTAAGGAGTTTTAAAATAAAGATACACTTCAAATTCAGCTAAAAAAATCCTTAAAGTCAGGCTATAAAAAGTAGTGCAGAACCTTATTTATTTACGTTTATCAAATTACTTGTATACAATCCATGATACTTGACCTAAGTTACAATCTGTGAATTCATGTTTGAAGTTCTGGAATTATTTCCTTTATAGTCTATTTCTTGTTTGAAACTGGATGAAAGATACATTAAGTATTTAAGAGTTACTGTGGTTGGCTGAAGACACTGGGGAAGAAATTGAAAAATGTCCGCTAGTGCATATCCAGAATAGTGTGAGTTCTATAATTTTGCCACCAGAATACTTTATGGAAGGCTGTTAATCCCCATGTTTTTCAAGTTATATTTTTCTTATGCTGAATGAACCAGAGCCAGAATTTAGAGGGATACTATTCTCTCCAGGCTTAACTGTAGCCATAGGTACCTATACATGTTATCTTTAGTAGATTTTCATTAGCTTTTTTCTTGGAAGTCTTGTAATTGCTATCTAGAACAGTCTGTATTAGTTGTTTTATGACATGAATAGATTTATAGGTTCTATGTAATTCTTATTTTTAATCTGCTTTGCATCAGCAGAGAAGAAACTGTCAATACGGGATTATTGGAGGAAAAATTGGAAATTTGGGTGACTGATAAGGTCATCTTATTTCATCTTTGTAGCTTATGTCTTTGAATTTTGGTACAATTGGCAGCTTTTTCTTGTGTTTTGTAAGAATACACTTGGCTGTCATCAAGTTATATTACTATCCAAAGACAGTTAATCTGTTGAGATTATTTAGGAATTGTATGGTGCCAAAAGGGCATAATAAATGTGCTTCCACCAATCTTCATGTTGTAGTACCATTTGATCTCAGCCTGGTGTTAACAAAATTAGGTTACTTTCAACCTTTAGGAAAATATTCTTTATTCTGCTACATGATTAAGAAATCCTTCTGATTGAAATAACTGTAGTTTCCAAGTAGTGAAGCGGCCACAGTTAATAATCATTGATCCATCAGCGGTAAGGGAGGGAGATACTAGTTATCCTGAGTTCTGTACCCACAAGAAATCGAGTTATATTTTAAAGCTGCCTTTGCAGCTTCACTACAGTTTCTGTATAACAACATAACAGAGCTGAGTTCATATGCAGTGTAGTCCTCGAGATGATTATTGTAACATGGCTACCATCAGTGGTTTTTTTTCAATATTTCATTAGATATTGTTTCAGGAATATATAATTCTGACTTAATTCTAACTTAAAGGAGAAATTTGGCCTGTGGGTTGTTAGACTAAACACATTTTCTTAAGTACAAAATGTAACTGCATTTAGCCTAGCTGTTTTTAATTTAAAGATGGCCAAAGCCATCATAACCTCATGGTTTGATGTCTCTGATACACACTGCGCAAATTAAAACATTAAGTCTAAACAATCACATTTTGCAAGCAGCTAGCTTCAAATAACTTAACTGTTCATCGTACTTTCCAAAAACATTTTTAAAACCACCCCAAAATGCATTTGTGAAACAGGTACTTCGTTTTTGCATGTTTGGGGGGGGGTGGTGGTGGGGTGTTTTCTTTTGTTGTTTTTTTTAATGAAAAAGATTATTTGCCAGTCAGTTTTTGATTCCTTTGACATTTTTTGCTGCATGCTCCAAAGTCATGCTCCAATGACTTTGGAATTAGACCTATTAAATGTGTGGAGTTTTGGACAGGAGTATCATATCTGATGCACTCATAACTTCTGTGTTTGCATTATAGCATTGCAGACCTAGATTAAAATGTGGAACGTGTTAGTCACAATGAATTATCTATAGGGTTTTGAGAGACTACAGCATGTATATGAATTTGCTAAATCATGTCTAGTATAATAAACCCCTTATATTTGCATTTCCATATCTGATTTTTCATTTTTAACTTGTTTCCCTAAAGATCATTACTTTTTTACATTTATAGATAGCTCTTTAGCCAGGAAAACAAATATGGAATTTTATATTGGTATTTAAATAATCTTAATAACTTAGATGCTAGAGCTATTGATGCAATGTTAATGTTTTGCTTATTGCAAATATACTATCAGTTACAACATAAAGGTGCTACTAGAAGGTAAACATTGTTGAGGGGTTTTTTTCCACTTTATATTTGACTTCCTATAAGGAATAAGAGGTAAAGGAAAGAACATCATGTATATTGACATATAATCCTGTTAGTTCCTAAGCATTGTAAAATGAGAAGAGTACTGCACATTGATGTTCTATTCTTTACTTCTCTGCTTGGGAGTCTATGTATATATCTTGGTCATTGATGCATTTGTGATTGAGAACTGTTAGCCTAGAAACCTTTGGTTTATTTTGCCAGACAGGGTAAGTGATCCTGAGAAGTATGGTGGTGATATTTTTTTATTTGCTTGTTTTTCTTGTTCTGAATGGGAATGGAGAAAGTTTGTGAGCCACGGGTCCAGTTGATAAAATAGTCAGGACTCTGTAAGAGTAGTCTCAGTATTGTATCCATGTCCTGCTCATATGGAAGTAAAGACAAGATGCAAGGGATGTGGTTTAATTGGACCTCAATTTTATTAGCTTAGCCATCTGGGATTTACTGGCATAAATTTGTACAGTGCAGGTCAAGATCCTTTCTTTAATCATTTCCTTCTGGTGTAAGTCGCTATCAGTCCCCCCTTCCCACACAGCTGGTCCCCAGCCTGTTATTGGGACCCCACTCTATATGCTTTTAATCCAAATGATAAGAGGTCTGGAAAAGAAATTGTCTCTTTGGTGTACTTCAGATGTTAACCCCAAACATAATTCTTAGTTTTTTAAAGAGTCACTTTCTCCTAACTTCATTTCCAATTTCAGACCTTTTAATCCAGCTTTAAGATGAGGTTTCGAATGGAAGGATAGAGTTCATGTTCCTTATTTCTGCACTTGTGGCAGAAGGCATGCTAGAGCTAAATCAGTATGCCCATTAATTCAGGTTACTGCCTCAAAAGGGATATTAGTTCCTTTTCTTTTCCTAACTTCTGCTCCAGGTCTACCTCCATGTCTTCAGGTTCTGTGGCAGAATTTTTGGCTTTTTTGGCAATAGAGAAAATATTGAATGAGCTATCTTAGTACAGCTTTATTCTTATATATTATTTTATTATTCTTTGAGCAAAATATTATCTATATAAGTAAAAGGTATCATTGACTTTTATATCAAATCTGTATGTAACCCCTATTTTTAAGTTATATCAGAATACCTGGGCAGATGTTCTGGGAGCAGAATACATCAACTACCTGGGAGGGAGAAAGCTGTGTAGATAATCAATTTCTATTCTGTTCTACTGTTTTGTGACTTCATTTATAGAAAATTTTTAATCTTCCCAACAGATTCTTCTTCAATTAACTTTGCCTTGCGCACAAAATCTGAAATGATTTTGTTCTTCAACAGCAAGCTCCTTGTCATGTACCTAGGTGCATTGGACGTTTCTTAGACATATTTTATTTAAATAAATAAATAAAATACTGTAGAAATACTGTAGAGAAAATAACTTTGTTGCTCTAGCCTATAATGAGAGCTGAGATTGTGATCAATGTAATGCATTAATAACAAATTAATGGCACATGCTTTCTGTAGCTGGAAACTTCATGAGATAAATACTCTTAAAATTGTGAGGATTGAAGTGATCCCAATAAAAAGTAGTTTTTCTCTTCTGAATTTGAATAATATACTTCATAATATCAGTACCCCAAATCTGTTTAAATCAAATGCTGTTTCATTCACTGTTGAAAAAATAGTTAATGTTGATTGTCAGGAGCCATGGGGTTTACATCTGTACATCATAAATTTCACTATCATCTGCTTCTTTTTCTACTTAAGAAAAAAAAAGAAAAAAAAAA